CCCCAACCTCAGAGGAAGCGTATGAGGCACCGTGCTAGGAAGCCGGCTGCTACGGCTGCGGCAGAGTACACCAGTGGGCAAGCGTTTGTGCGAGAACGCGGATCGGAATCTGAGATGGATTTCGACGAGGATTTTTAAAAGGGGACTCTGATGAGTCAGGTCAGGAGTATCCCCAGATTGCTATGTTATCACTGACGGAAAACAATAAAAAAAATATGAAAAGAAAAAGGCAGGAAGGGAGAGCGTCCCAACCGGAGAAAAAACAGAAGATTTTGGAGGAACCTATTCATGGTCCTCGACCTATCGTTAATCAATTCCTTTGTTTCGCGGAAAAATGTTTACCTTGTAAGGTGTTGTTGGATACTGGTGCAACTGGTCCTGTTTTGTCTGCTGTTTTTGTTGATAGTTTTGAGGTCCCGAAGGTGAAACGAGACGTCCCGGCCCGGGTATTTGGATTTACGGGAGAAGTTATGAAGGGCACGGGACACGCCTTTACACAAACATTAATGATAATGTCGAGGGGGCATCAAACACAGTTGTCATTCGAGATCGCCCCTCTCCCAGCTGGCATCGATGCAATACTGTTACGGGCATGCCAAGCATTTACGGGAGTGAGAGAAAGGCTAGTAGATACCCCAATACCCTCTGATACTAATGGCAACACCACTATCAACTCCGGTTCGCACCCACGAGGTGCGGTGCGATCGATATGCGACCAAATGCGGAGTTGCGGTTTTCCTAGTTAAAAAAACACGTTTTCGACCCCAATCATAACCCCCGGGTCGTCAAACCACCGGAGGGGAGTGTTTTGGTACCGGTGTATATATGAGGGACAGCTGGAATCAATCGGATCGAAGATCGGACCGCTCGGAGCGAATCGGCGCAAGCTGCCAGCCGACCGAGTACCTATCGGTGGTACCTGTGGGCATGAGAGGACTCTGCTATGTGGGAAAGCGATGTGGGAAGAGGCCTGAGTAGGTAGCCTTGCCGTCCGAGACCTCCGAAGAGCCGACGCTGACGATTATCCACCAGACGGCCGATGGAGAAGAAACATCGACAGGGAAACGTGCATTAGAGTGGATAAATATGTTGAGGGGTTTCAGCGGCTTTAGGAGTTTGGGTTACGGACTTAGGAGTTAAATGTTCTTGGTTGTTTTTCAGGGTCTCGGGCATGCCCCGAGTGTATTCTGTATTATTAGTAGACTGGGTCCTCGAGACACAAGCGAGGGATATAAATACTGTGTCATTCACTGACTAGCCAAACCATCATCGGCGAAATCAGAGTCTTAACAATATAAATTGTTGATACGCGAGTTACAACTTTATTTGACTATACTTTCTGAAATACTTTACTCTATCGTGACTTCGAACTCTACCTGAACTATTACGTCGAAGACGGTCAAACACTATACGCTAACTCTAGTGAATCTTTGTTGATAACGTAGCTCGCGGGGCCCGTATCGGATCAAGGAGAATCATACTCGACGTTAACTGAAGAGACCTTGGAAGCTTCTACCTTTGTAGTTGTTAGCCGAACTCTGAGCTCTGCGTAGTGTACTCTTGTGGTCTGGTACGCATCCCTCACAAGAAGCTTCAGATGGAAATACTGTCCGATACCCATGACTCTAAGGTGGCTGGTCATTTTGGCCAATTCAAGACACTAGAGCGGGTGAAAAACAACTTCTTTTGGCCCAACATGGATAAGGATGTTGAGGAATATGTCCGGAGCTGTGACAGCTGCCAGAGGAATAAGACCTCTAGACATAAGAAGTTTGGTATGCTCCAACCGTTGGAGATACCCTATCGGCCATGGACTTCCATCTCTATGGACTTCATTGTGGGATTACCGGAATCTAGTGGGTTTACAAAGATCTGGGTAATAGTGGACCGCTTTTCGAAGATGGCACACTACATCCCTCTTCCTACCCTCAATAAAACGGAAGATTTGGCTAAGCTGTTCTTGAAGGAAGTTTGGAGACTCCATGGTTTACCTGATGACATAGTCTCGGACAGAGATAGCAGGTTCATTTCTCACTTTTGGCAATCTCTCATGAGTCTCCTCAATGTGAAGCTGAAGATGTCCACATCTTTCCACCCACAAACGGACGGTCAAACAGAAAGAGTTAACCAGACCCTGGAACATTACTTGCGGAGTTATTGTTCATATCAACAGGATGACTGGGCAGAACTCTTGCCTTTGGCAGAGTATGCATATAACTCGGCGGTCTCTGAGTCTACCAAAGTATCGGCTTTCTATGCCAACTATGGTTATGAACCCAGGACCAATTGGCCGGCCCCAAAGGAAGGAGTAGAATGGAACAATCCAGCGAGCGAGGTCATGATATCTCAATGGGAATCTATCTGGCAGGCTATGAATACCAGCCTGGGTAAAGCTAGATTAAGGATGGCCCGGTGGTATGATGCTCATGCCCTGGCACCGCCTGAAATCAAGCCCGGAGATGAAGTTATGTTGGACCGGCGCAATGTGCAAACAAAGCGGCCTTTGGGAAAATTGGATCAGAAGAAGATGGGACCCTTTAAGGTCTTAGAAGCTATTGGTACCCGTGCCTACAAGCTCTCTCTCCCCCCTCAAATGGGAATCCACCCGGTCTTTCATGTCTCTCTTCTGGAACCTTACAGAGTACCGGTAGATCCTGAGAAGAGAGTTCCACTACCGGAACCCGAAGAGATTGCAGGAGAACAGAACTGGGTTGTCCGAGAAGTAGCAGATAGCCGGATCAATAAGAAGAGAAGACGAGTGGAATACCTAGTGTTGTGGGAAGGTTATGAGAACGAGGATGCTAAATGGGAACCTTGGGAGCATCTAAAGAAGAGTGCTGAAGAAGCCCTTCGGGATTTCCATATGAGGTGTCCTAAGAAACCCAAGGACAAGCGGATTGTTGGGGTGTAGTTTTTCCTTTAGGTTTTCGTTCCTTGCATATCACGGAGTTTCTTGTCACATAGAATGGATGGTAATAGAATGGTTATAGGTCTCGGAGACCAAGATCCTGGAAGAGGGGAGTGGTGTAACGGAGCCAGTTCAACTGTCTGGTGTATGAGTACACACAGGGCCCGGTTACATGCTGAGAGTTATTGTTAGAAGCCAGTTGCACGGTGATATGCAAGTACCGGCAGTGTGGTTAGCTACCAGCTGTTAGAGTAACTACATTCCGGGCGCTAGGAAGGGGATCTATTCATGGGAGCAATGACTGACGAGTCTATGCCTCGCCAGTGTCTAGAAGACCGGCCAGAGTGAATCTCTGATTGTCCGGTGATCCACCGCATCCTCTGAGCATTGTAAGTCCGCCGAAGGGCAGGGACTATGCTAGGGAAGTCTACAATAAGCGAAAGCTCTACAGCAATGATTAAGCTTACACCTGAGTGGCAGCTCATTCATGCAGGTCCTCGGTTGTGTGGCAACCAAGGCTGCAGGTGTTACAAAGGCTTTGACTAAGGGTGGTTGCCTTGGGTATCGGAAAATACCTGCTGATGCTTAGAGAAAAGCGGGGTAGCGGTGGTATTGTTTCCGGTACTGAGGGAAGGCCCACCGGAACTTAGTAAGGAGTTAGGAGCAGAGAATAGAAGCCTTCGGAGTATAAGTACTCAAGTTCATTCTCGCCCTTCATTCCTGTTCTCTCCAGTCTTCATCAGAAAGAAAAAACCAAGTTCTTATCGGTAGCAGAGCCCTTAAAGATTATTGAGTTCTAGCGATAGTATCTTTGAATAATCTGCAACCTGATTGTCTATCTTGCACGGCCGTCTCTATTCTATCCGATTCTATTTCTCGTATAAAGGACCCCCGTTACACAAGGGCTACCAAATGAAATCCGGGAGCGCCACTCATGCTTCGATCCGACCGATGACGACTCCGAGTACATCCAACAGTTGGAACGAGCCGGCAAGGCTCACGAGGCTTATCAAGAGCAGATGAAGATGTTGGGGAAAGCGGAGTCGAGAGGAAGGGAGTCGAATAATGGTGGGAACTCGCGGCAGAAGGAGAAGGGGTTTAAGATTAAGGGGAGTGTGAGGGATGCGTACCAGACCACAAGAGTACACTACGCAGAGCTCAGAGTTCGGCTAACAGCTACAAAGGTAGAAGTCTCCAAGGTCTCTTCAGTCAACGTTGAGTATGATTCTCCTTGATCCGATACGGGCCCCGCGAGCTACGTTATCAACAAAGATTCACTAGAGTTAGCGTGTGATGTTCGACCATCTTCGACGTAATAGTTCAGGTAGAGTTCGAAGTCACAATAGAGTAAAGTATTTCAAAGTATAGTCAAATAAAGTTGTAACTCGCGTATCAACGATTTATATTGTTAAGACTCTGATTTCGCCGATAATGGTTTGGCTAGTCAGTGAATGACACAGTATTTATATCCCTCGCTTATGTCTCGAGGACCCAGTCTACTAATAATACAGAATACACTCGGGGCATGCCCGAGACCCTGAAAAACAACCAAGAACATTTAACTCCTAACTCCGTAACCCAAACTCCTAAAGCCGCTGAAATCCCTCAACCTATTTATCCACTCTAATGCACGTTTCCCTGTCGATGTTTCTTCTCCATCGGCCGTCTGGTGGATAATCGTCAGCGTCGGCTATTCGGAGGTCTCGGACGGCAAGGCTACCTACTCAGGCCTCTTCCCACATCGCTTTCCCACATAGCAGAGTCCTCTCATGCCCACAGGTACCACCGATAGTTACTCGGTCGGCTGGCAGCTTGCGCCGATTCGCTCCGAGCGGTCCGATCTTCGATCCGATTGATTCCAGCTGTCCCTCATATATCCACCGGTACCAAAACACTCCCCTCCGGCGGTTTGACGCTCCGGGGGTTATTATTGGGGTCGAAAACGTGTTTTTTAACTAGGAAAACCGCAACTCCGCATTTGGTCGCATATCGATCGCACCACACCTCGTGGGTGCGAACCGGAGTGGACATTAGCGTACAGAGGGTATTGGAGTATCTACTAGCCTTTTTCTCACTTCCGTAAATGCTTGGCATGCCCGTAACAGGGAGAGCTCAGACTGAGGAGAAAGAAAAGGGGCAAGATAAGAAGAGCACCAGCAAGAACAAGTCGGGGAATAAGCCAATATACCACGACTACGACGAAGCCACCAAAGGAGTTCCACAGCCGGTCCGAGACCAGCGAAAGACCGATGGTGTCTGTGTGCGATGTGGCCGAAAGGGTCATCTTTGGAAATGGTGTCGTTCAGATGCTAATAGCAGTGCATCTATCCCCTCTTTCTCCCGAAAGCGTACCCGCGATGACGATTGCGACCACGATATGGAACCACCGGAACCCCAACCTCAGAGGAAGCGAATGAGGCACCGTGCTAGGAAGCCGGCTGCGATGGCTGCTGCGGAGTATACCAGTGGGCAAGCGTTTGTGCGAGAACGCGGATCGGAATCTGAGATGGATTTCGATGAGGATTTTTAAAAGGGGACTCTGATGAGTCAGGTCAGGAGTATCCCCAGATTGCTATGTTATCACTGACAGAAAACAACAAAAAAAATATGAAAAGAAAAAGGCAGGAAGGGAGAGCATCCCAACCGGAGAAAAAACAGAAAATTTTGGAGGAACGAATTCACGGTCCTCGACCTATCATTAATCAGTTCCTTTGTTTTGCGGAAAAATGTTTACCTTGTAAGGTGTTGTTGGATACTGGTGCAACTGGTCCTGTTTTGTCTGCTGTTTTTGTTGATAGTTTTGAGGTCCCGAAGGTGAAACGAGACGTCTCGGCCCGGGTATTTGGATTCACGGGAGAAGTTATGAAGGGCACGGGACATGCATTTACACAACCATTAATTATAATGTCAAGGGGGCATCAGACGCAACTATCATTCGAGATCGCCCCTCTCCCACTTGGCATCGACGCGATACTACCGAACTGGTGGTTGAAAGAACACAAGCCGGTTATAGGGGCAAATGGGGAAGTTTCCTACGATGGTGAGAACTGCAAGAGTCGATGCTTCACTGACAAGGAACCTCAAATAGAAATGGACGAGGGTGTACTAGACGATCCGGAGGCCCAATTCATCGGTAGTATTTGTCTTTTGGAAGATGAATCGGTCAACCTCCGTGAAACTCTTCCCTCTTGGCTCCATGGGTTCCTTAAAGTCTTCCTACCATCGGAAGCAGACAAATTACCACCGCATCGATCTTACGACCATGCAATAGATCTCGAACCAGGGAAGCAGCCACCATGGGGACCCGTTTACTCCCTATCCGAAGTCGAGCTGAAGGTGCTTCGGGAGTACCTAGACAAAATGTTGCGATTGGGAAAGATTAGGCCGAGCAAATCCCCAGCAGGAGCCCCAATCCTATTTGTGAAGAAGAAGGACGGTAGTCTACGACTTTGCGTTGACTACCGTGGACTTAACCGCGTGTCCATCAAGAACAGGTATCCGTTACCACTTATGGACGAACTACGAGATCGAGTGGCAGGCGTGGTTATCTTCTCGAAGATTGACCTGAAGGAAGGTTACAACCTCATCAGGATCAAAGACGGCGACGAGTGGAAGACAGCATTCCGTACGCGGTACGGGCATTTTGAGTACCTCGTCATGCCTTTTGGGCTGGCAAATGCGCCGGCGACCTTCCAGAATATGATGAATGATGCGCTGAGGGAATTCTTGGATCAAGGTGTAGTAGTATACCTTGATGATATCCTAATATATAGCAAGTCTCGAGAGGAACACAGGGAGCTGGTCGGCAAAGTACTTAGCAGGCTACAAGAATACAACCTGGTCGCCAACCCGAAGAAATCGTTCTTCGAGCTCACCGAAATCGAGTTCCTCGGGTACATCCTTGCCCCAGCAGGCGTCACCATGGCACTGGATAAGGTTATGTCTGTTACGAATTGGCAAGCCCCGCGCAGCGTTAAGGAAGTACAGATCTTTATGGGCTTTGCCAACTTCTACAGAAGATTTATCCACAATTTCTCCGGGGTCTGTAAACCCATTACCGATTGTCTCAGGGGTGATGCTAAGAACTTTGTCTGGTCTATGACGGCCCAAGCAGCCTTCGAAAAACTCAAAACCCTGTTTACGTCCGCGCCGATCTTGGTACACTTCTCTCCAGATCGCCAGACTATCGTGGAAACGGACGCAAGTGATTTTGCTATTGCCGCAATTCTATCCCAGGTTATTGACGGAAAGACTCACCCTGTTGCCTTTTATTCTCGAAAGCTTAACCCAGCGGAACTTAATTACGACGTTTGGGATAAGGAGATGCTAGGAATTGTGTCAGCCTTCAAGCAATGGCGTCACTACCTCGAAGGACCTAGCCAAACGGTTCTCGTCTATACGGATCACAAGAACTTAGAGTACTTCTCTACCACTAAGGTTCTTAACCGACGACAGGCAAGGTGGGCTGAGTCTTTGGCGGAATTTGACTTTAAGATTATTTACCGCCCGGGAACCAAAAATGGGAAGGCAGATGCACTATCGCGACGGCCGGAGTACCGTCCTGAAGGGGGAGGCACGCTTGGGAAACAGCCGATAGACAGGTTCTTTAAGCCCGGGCAGTTGGCGGAGGAAGAGTTTGTGGTATCAGCGGTGTCGCTTGCCTCCAAGGGAGTGATCGACTGGTCTAAGAATTTTCTGGATCATGTCAGGCAGGCGGCATCGGGAGACCCGATATGGGTAGGAATGAGAGAGAGAGTTAAGCAAGGGGAGAAGCTGGGGGAATTGAAGGATATTGCCGAGAAAGACGGGCTACTCTTCTATAAAAACCGACTCTACATTCCGGCAGACGACCGTATCAAAATCCGAATTGCACAGTCAGAACACGATTCGAAAGTGGCAGGACACTTTGGACAAGACAAAACTTTGGAACTCATTACGCGCAACTTTTATTGGCCAAAAATGAACGAGTGGATTGATGATTAAGTTCGGTCATGTGACGAGTGCCAGCGCAACAAACCCAGCCGCCACAAGAAATATGGCGCGCTTCTTCCACTGTCCACACCACATTCTGTCTGGCAATCGATATCAATGGACTTTGTCGTACAGTTACCGGAATCAAAGGGATACAATCAAATCTGGGTAGTAGTCGATAGATTCTCGAAGATGTCTCTCTTCATTCCCCTGGTAGCAGAAACGACCGCGCAGGATTTAGCGAAGATATTCCTCGGTCAAATCTGGCGACTCCATGGGCTGCCTCTTGATATAGTTTCCGACAGGGACGCCAAATTTAGTTCAAGCTTTTGGGCATCCCTTATGGAATTATTGGATGTGGGGATAAGAATGAGTACGGCTTTCCACCCTCAGACCGATGGGCAAACGGAGCGGGTCAACCAAACCCTCGAGCACTATTTACGAGCATTCTGTAACTACGAGCCAGATGATTGTGCGGAGCTACTCCCGTTGGCGGAGTATGCTTACAACAACTCGGTTACCACCGCCACGGGTCAATCTCCGTTCCATACCAATTACGGTTACAACCCGAGAACCAACTGGCCAATGGAAGCCGAAGTGGTCAACCCAACCAGTGACCTATACGCTCACTTCATCCGAGGAGTTCACGATTCTGCTCTCGCTCGCTTAACAGACACCAGGGAGAAAATGGGGAAATACTATGATCGAAAAAGGGACGAATCACCGAACTTTAAGATAGGCGACATGGTCATGCTCAATGCGGCCAATATCAAGACACGTCGCTCCACTAAAAAGCTCGATCATAAGAAACTCGGTCCGTTCAAAATTATCCGACTAGCCGGGAAACGAGCCTGCGAATTGGAACTGCCACCACAAGTCAAAATCCATAACGTGTTCCATATCGAACTCTTGGAACGTTACCGACAGAGCAGTATCCCAGGCCGTGAACAACGTCCCCCGACTCCCGACGAGGTCGATAAAGAAGGAGAGGTTCTGTATGAAGTGGAAAGTATTGTGGGAAGCCGGAAGAGCAGGAGAGGATTAGTGGAATACCTGGTGAAATGGCGGGGCTATTCGATGAGCGACTGTACTTACCAAGTCATGGATGTTATGAACGAAGACGTACTCGATCTAGTCCGCGACTTTCATCGAAGGAACCCCAAGGCCGTGAAGGACCAACGCCTGAGACTATAGAGGTACCCCACGGGGCTAAGTCCTTCCCCTCCACAGACACCGCGGGTGATATGTGGAGCAGGTTTACTGGAACCATAGTCTGTCAGAAGATGTCCCGAGACGTGACACCCTGGAAGGGGGGTAAGCTGTTACGGGCATGCCAAGCATTTACGGAAGTGAGAGAAAGGCTAGTAGATACCCCAATACCCTCTGATACTAATGGCGATATCACTATCAACTCCGGTGTGATCAATATGCGACCAAATGCGGAGTTGCGGTTTTCCTAGTTAAAAAACACGTTTTCGACCCCAATAATAACCCCCGGAGCGTCAAACCGCCGGAGGGGAGTGCTTTTGGACCGGTGGATATATAAGGGACAGCTGGAAGCAATCGGATCGAAGATCGGATCACTCGGAGCGAATCGGCACAAGCTACCAGCCGACCGAGTACCTATCGGCGGTACCTGTGGGCATGAGAGGACTCTGCTATGTGGGAAAGCGATGTGGGAAGAGGCCTGAGTAGGTAGCCTTGCCGGCCGAGACCTACGAGCAGCCGACTCTGACGATTATCCACCAGAGGGCCGATGGAGGAGAAACATCGACAGGGAAACGTGCATTAGAATGGGTAAATAGGTTGAGGGGTTTCTGCGGGTTTAGGAGTTTGGGTTACGGACTTAGGAGTTAAATGTTCTTGGTTGTTTTTCAGGGTCTCGGGCATGCCCCGAGTGTATTCTGTATTATTAGTAGACTGGGTCCTCGAGACATAAGTGAGGGATATAAATACTGTGTCATTCACTGACTAGCCAAACTATCATCGGCGAAATCAGAGTCTTAACAATATAAATCGTTGATACGCGAGTTACAACTTTATCTGACTATACTTTTGGAAACTACTCTACTCTATCGTGACTTCGGACTCTACCTGAACTACTACGTCGAAGGCGGTCGAACATTATACGCTAACTCTGGTGAATCTTTGTTGATAACGTAGCTCGCAGGGCCCGTATCGGATCAAGGGGAATCATACTCGACGTTGACTGAAGAGACCTTGGAGACTTCTACCTTTGTAGCTGTTAGCCGAACTCTGAGCTCTGCGTAGTGTACTCTTGTGGTCTGGTACGCATCCCTCACAGCGGGTTACAACTTTATTTGACTATACTTTTGGAAACACTTTACTCTATCGTGACTTCGAACTCTACCTGAACTATTACGTCGAAGACGGTCGAATATCATACGCTAACTCTAGTGAATCTTTGTTGATAACGTAGCTCGCGGGGCCCGTATCTGATCAAGGGGATTCATGCTCGACGTTGACTGAAGAGACCTTGGAGACTTCTACCTTTGTAGTTGTTAGCCGAACTCTGAGCTCTGCGTAGTGTACTCTTGTGGTCTGGTACGCATCCCTCACAGCGGGTTACAACTTTATTTGACTATACTTTTGGAAACACTTTACTCTATCGTGACTTCGAACTCTACCTGAACTATTACGTCGAAGACGGTCGAATATCATACGCTAACTCTAGTGAATCTTTGTTGATAACGTAGCTTGCGGGGCCCGTATCGGATCAAGGAGATTCATACTCGACGTTGACTGAAGAGACCTTGGAGACTTCTACCTTTGTAGCTGTTAGCCGAACTCTGAGCTCTGCGTAGTGTACTCTTGTGGTCTGGTACGCATCCCTCACAACCGGCATTCCAGCAAGACGGTTGGCAGAGGTTTGATCAATTGAGTTGTGGTATGCCTCATACCATCGGATCGCTGCCTCTCCTTCCATCAAGTTGCCTGCATATCGAATCTTAACCTCTTCAGAGGTGAAGGACAGGCTCTCAATGGAGAACACATTCTCACATTGCCGGATGAAGGTCTCCACTTGCTCCGCTTTGCCCTGGAACTTGGAGGGTGGTGGTGCCATTGGTTCTCGGGCCCTGGTAGTAGCAGAAGGGGGAGAGGTGGCTGGAGGTCGATACTGCTGGGACATCATAGCCAACAGATTCTTCTGCTGCTTCTCCAACTTCTTCTTGAGGTATCTCCGCCAGCCTCTTCTGCCACCACCTTCCGGTTCCGAGTTTGAACTGTCAGAAGTGTCTGAGTTTCCAGGAGCGGGAGTGCGGGCCACGGGAGGTGGAGGGTTCTGGTTTCCACCGCTTCTGTAATGGAGCCATTTCAACTGTCTGGTGTATGAGTACACACAGGGCCCGGTTACATGCTGAGAGTTATTGTTAGAAGCCAGTTGCACGGTGATATGCAAGTACCGGCAGTGTGGTTAGCTACCAGCTGTTAGAGTAACTACATTCCGGGCGCTAGGAAGGTGATCTATTCATGGGAGCAATGACTGACGAGTCCATGCCTCGCCAGTGACTAGAAGACCGGCCAGAGTGAAGCTCTGATCGACCGGTGATCCTCTTTATCCTCTGAGCATTTGTAAGTCCGCCGAAGGTCAGGAATATGCTAGGGAAAGTCTACAATAAGCGAAAGCTCTACAGCAATGATTAAGCTTACACCTGAGTGGTAGCTCATTCATGCAGGTCCTCGGTTGTGTGGCAACTGACGCTGCAGGTGTTACAAAGGCTTTGACTAAGGGTGGTTGCCGTGAGTATCGGAAACACCTGCTGACGCTTAGAGAAACGCGGGGTAGCGGTGGTATTGTTTCCGGCACTGAGGAAAGGCCCACCAGAACTTAGTAAGGAGTTAGGAGCAGAGAATAGAAGCCTTCGGAGTATAAGTACTCAGGTTCATTCTCGCCCTTCAGTCCTGTTCTCTCGAGTCTTCATCAGAAAGAAAAAACCAAGTTCTTATCGGTAGCAGAGCCCTTAAAGATTATTGAGGTCTAGCGATAGTATCTTTAAATAATCTGCAACCTGATTGTGTATCTTGCACGGCCGTCTCTATTCTACTCTATTCTATTTCTCTTAGAAAGGACCCCCGTTACAATAATCCACACAAATTCGCAATGTCCCATCCTTCTTCGGAATGAAAAGTATGGGCGCCGCAGCAGGGCTATTAGATCTAGAGATCTTTCCTGAAGACAATTCTTTGTCCAGGTATTCTCGGCGGGCTTTTAACTCTGGAGCGGAACATGGGTACAGCGGGCCAAATGGGGGAGCGGTCACAGGCAAGAGTTTGGTCTTCAGATCATTATGGGAATGCGACGGCATTTCCTCAATCTTCTCTTGACCGAACACATCAGCCCATTCCCGGTATAGATGGTGTATTTTCTCAGCAATATCGCCTCCGTCCTCATCATGCCATACTGAACCAACCAATTGATAGACTGTCTCTTCTTCTTCCAACATCTGGTATGGAGAGATCAGTTCAATCTTGATGGCCGCTGGGAGACAATTCTGCTTGCAGTAGTCACTCCTCCAGCTCATGGTGTTGAGTTCCCAATTGATGTCCGGGTTATACTTCCTAGCCCAACTAATTGGTAGGTAACCGGTCATTCCTTCTTCCAAAGTAGCCACCTCCCATCGGAGTGTCTACTCATGATCTCCTATAGTCATGCGGACTAGGTGAGTGTAATACTCGCCTCCTCCTATCATGACATCTCCTTGAGCATCAAACATTGTCAGAGGTTGATCCCGACGCACTAAAGGAATTCCATGTTTTCTGACAAAACTCTGGTTGAGGATAGCTCCTGTACAACCGGTGTCTAACAGGAAAGACCCTTGGGTGCCTTCATCCTTTCCTTTGACCGTCCATGACAGTCCTGCCTTCAGTATAGGTCTTTTCCCATGTACTGGTAAGGAGGGAAGCCTTTGTTCCAACCTTCTTTGCTTAACAGTGGGTTCTGAGCTTGTTTCTCTTTGTCTTTTCAACATAGCTAATAGCTTCGGGCACTACTAAGATCAGAGATCCTTTGATTCTATTCCCAAGCGGTAATATAGTAGATGTATTGTGTAGTAGTCTTTTTTTGGCAGCGGTTTGGAAGTGTCTTGGTAGCAAATATAACTTTGGTAGAGCACTGACAGACCAGCTGTTTCGGGTCTTAAACCCATCCTCAGAGTGCTTGGAGCAATCAAATAGGCAGAAACCCAATCATAATTTATTCAAGAGAAACATAGAAACCGAAAACCCATATAAAAGAAAGCTAGTAAACATAGACTCAAACAGACACTTTTCTACCAGAGGATTTCATTGTCCGAGTCTTGCTCAGGTTGAAAAACAAAATCTTCTGTAACCTCCGGGAGTACAACAAGTGAATCCTCTGCTACAAGAGCAGCCACTTTAGCCTTCTTCTGAGAGTTGGAGTTACCCTTCTCTCTTTTCCGCTTTTGTACTCTCACTGCTGCCACTCGGACAACAGTAGGTTCCTTTGATCAACAATCGGTCCATTTGTGTCTGGACTTGCCGCACTATTGCACAAGTCAGTCTATGCAGTCTACCAATAAGGAGTACCGGAAGGTCATACCTTCAAGCATACTTCTGCTTTCCTTCTTTCTTCTAGAATATCCCCCGGAATACCCTTCAGTTCCACCGCTTTATCCTTAGGTCCCGGGACCTTCTGAGGTCCGGAGGAGCTTGCAGCTTCTCTTTTCCTCTTGGGCTGCCGGTCCTTCTCAGCAGGAGGATCTTTCTTGTTCCGAGGGGGCACTTTCTCAGCTGCCATCCCTTGGTACCTCTCATGAGTGTGCCCTAACTCTCTTAGAGCAGCTATCCACTCCATCAAAGACTTTGGCTTGGGATTGAAAAGAGCCCAACTCATGCCTAGGTCTGGGAGGAGGGAATTGTTAATCTTATCATCCACCAACTGACCCTCATAGCCAGTCTTCCACATCAGCTGAATGATAGTATTCAGGAAGAGGTCTATTCCTCCTCGAGCTGTGTGGGTAAGGGTATTCCAATGGGCTACAGCATCATCTCTGGAGATGGCTTCGCCGAAAGCTGCTCTAAAAGCATCCACAAAGGAATCCCAGCGCTTCCATCTCTGATCCAATATCACGGGCTGCCCAGCAAGGCGGTTGGCGGAGGCTTGATCAATTGAGTTGTGGTATGCCTCATACCATCTGATCGCTGCCTCCCCTTCCATCAAGTTGCCCGCATATCGGATCTTAACCTCCTCAGAGGTAAATGACAGGCTCTCAATGGAGAACACATTCTCACATTGCCGGATAAAGGTCTCCACTTGCTCCGCTTTGCCTTGGAACTTTGAGGGTGGTGGTGCCTTCGGTTCCCGGGCCCTGGTAGAAGCAGAAGGGGGAGAGGTGGCCGGAGGTCGATACTGCTGGGACATCATAGCAAACAAATCCTTTTGTTGCTTCTCCAACTTCTTCTTGAGGTATCTCCGCCAGCCTCTTCTGTCACCACCTTCCGGTTCCGAGTCTGAACTGTCAGAACTGTCTGAGTCTTCAGGAGTGGGAGCGCGGGCCACGGGAGGTGGAGGGTTCTGATTTCCACCGCTTCCACCCTGTACATTGACTGGAGGGGGAGCGGTTGCCACAGCAGGAGGGGCCACAGGTGCTACTGGTACCGGGTTGCTGGCCAATGGTGAGGTTGCTGCTCCTTGAGCGGCCCCAGACATAGTAAACCTTCCCGGGTTCCTGGCTAGCGGACTGGGAGGTCCACGGCCTGCACCTGGGTAGAGTTCTCCCTCATAGTCAAAGGATCGGTCGGCTAATCCAAGGAATAGGTTTATTCCTGCAAAACGGCTAGTAGGTAAGGGAGATGCTCCCACCGCTGGCTGCACAGTAGGAATAACTCTCCTAGTGGATCGGACCGAGAATGCTGCGAAGGGGCTGGTCTTCCGCTGCATTGTTCTTGTGGCTGCTCTGGAAGAGGACCTGGAGCCTGGGTTTGGTGCCGGAGTTGCTGGTCTACCCACCACCAGTCTTCCTTCATCAAGGGCCTTCTGTATTTCGGCAACAAAGTCTGGTGGAGTAGCCGGGTTTGTCCACTCAATCTCCATGGCGTCCTCATTCAGTTCATCTCTTTCCGCATATTTCCGGAGCTCTTCTTAAACAGAGTTGACCTCATGCCTCATATACTCTAGAGCCTCTGCCATAAGAGCATTCTGTGCTGCCTGGCGCTCTTGTACAAGGAGTAGTGCCTGACTGCCCCGGGTCAACTGATTCTGCAGACTGTGCTGGAGGTAGGTTTGGAGCTCTGTGAAGAACTGCTGAATGGAAACCTCGTCGATATCATGCCAGGCAGGCTCACAACCCAGGATGTAGATCTGTAGAGCGGTCCTGGGCTTCTTAACAAGCTGTGTCTGCCCGGTGGCATCAAGCTGTAGGGGCACCGGCTGCCATTCAATCTGAAGGAGTGCATCAGGAGCCGGGAGGGCGGACATTTTGGATAGAGGAAGAATAATCTGAAGGTGACTTGAGACTTAAAGATTATCTGTAATGGGGGTCTCTTCTAAGAGGAATAGAATAGGATAGAATAGAGACGGCCGTGCAAGATAGACAATCAGGTTGCAGATTATTCAAAGATACTATCGCTAGAACTCAATAATCTTTAAGGGCTCTGCTACCGATAAGAACTTGGTTTTTTTTTTTTGATGAAGACTCGAGAGAACAGGACTGAAAGGCGAGAATGAACCTGAGTACTTATACTCCGAAGGCCTCAATTCTCCGCTCCTAACTCCTTACTAAGTTCCGGTGGGCCTTTCCTCGGTGCCGGAAACAATACCACCGCTACCCCGCTTTTCTCTAAGTGTCAGCAGGTGTTTCCGATACCCAAGGCAACCACCCTTAGTCAAAGCCTTTGTAACACCTGCAGCCTTGGTTGCCACACAACCGAGGATCTGCATGAATGAGCTACCACTCAGGTGTAAGCTTAATCATTGCTGTAGAGCTTTCGCTTATTGTAGACTTTCCCTAGCATATTCCTGACTTTCGGCGGACTTACAAATGCTCAGAGGATACAGAGGATCACCGGTCGATCAGAGCTTCACTCTGGCCGGTCTTCTAGTCACTGGCGAGGCATAGACTCATCAGTCATTGCTCCCATGAATAGATCCCCTTCCTAGCACCCGGAATGTAGTTACTCTAACAGTTGGTAGCTAACCACACTGCCGGTACTTGCATATCACCGTGCAACTGGCTTCTAACAATAACTCTCAGCATGTAACTGGGCACTATGTGTACTCGTACACCAGACAGTTGAAATAGCTCCGTTACATCAATGGCCGAGTTTGCGACAAACAATCATCCTTCGGAAACAACAAAAGTCTCTCCTTTTTATGCCAATTCGGGAAGAAATCCAAGGATGACTTTTGGTCCTTTGGAACATGGTCAAACGAGGGTGGACAATCAAGCGAACCGTATTGCAAGAGAAATGAAGGATGTAGTGGATTTTCTAAGAGAAGAGATGTTTCGGGCGCAAAGGATACAAGAAGAGTCAGCCAATAGGAATCGGACTACAGCTCCTCGTTACTATTTAGGAGATAAAGTTTTCCTATCGACCCGTCATATTCTAACAAAGCGGCCTTCTAAGAAATTCGACTGGAAACGTATTGGATCTTATAGCGTTAAGTGGATCATCAATCCCTATGCTTACGAGTTGGAACTTCCCCGATCGATGAAAATTCATCCAGTATTTCATGTTTCGTTATTGTCACCCGAAGCAAATGATCCTTTACCAGGACAACAACAATTGCCACCACCTTCGGTTGAAATCGAAGGGGAGGAAGAATGGGAAGTCAAAGATATTTTGGATTCGAGGAAATGAAGAGGAAGGTTCGAATATTTTGTACGATATGTAGGGTATGACGAAGCCTCCTGGCAACCACTATCTGACCTTGAGTATTCACCTGATATCGTCAAACGATTCCACGAGCATTATACAGGGAAGCCTAAGCCTACCAGGAGGTAGGCCTTAGAGGGGGGCGTGGTCTGTAACGGCAACTATGTATTTCGATTAGGTGATAAACTGGAACGAGAAAAGGAGGTATTGTAAAGTGGAATTAGGATTTGTAATGGGGATTTCTGTTATGTTCTTTTAGTTTCTGTTACGCAGAGGTATTAGTCATCATTGGACTATGATTGGATATATAAGGGGGCGTTGTCTTGTGCTTTTATCTGTTTTCTTTCTTTCCTTCTTTTTTTACGCAACCTCTGTATTCTACTCCACGAATATTATTCTTGTTCTACGCTACGTCATAGGGTTCATTTTGGCTGTCAGATCAAATAGAGCCGCCCCATAGTCCATAGTTACCAATATCTTCTACTACATTCTTGCCTCGGTTGTATTCCTTGGCATCATAGTTCCCTACCCATAGACCCACATTATATCTACCTGAACTCCTACGTCAAAAAAGATCGATTACCATCTACTAACTCTAGTGAATCTTTGTTAATAACGTAGCTCGCGGAGCCCATATCAGACCAAGGAGATTCCTACTCAACGTTGACTGAAGAGACCTTGGAGACTTCTACCTTCGTATCTGTTAGCCGAACTCCGAGCTCTGCGTAGTGTACTCTTGTGGTCTGGTATGCACCCCTCACATTGTTTGTGGAAATGTGTTAGCTGTCATTTGGCAGGATCATATGGGTGAATCCCAGAGCCACAGAATTTTCCGATGTGTAGATCGAAACGCCCTCAAGTTACAGCTTTAAATGAACAGTCCGTAAGAGAAGGATAAGGTAATGAACGGGTGAAGATTCTACAAATACCCAAATTCTCTCTTCGATACAATGATCTTATGGGTCGGGTTGATATTGCGGACCAAAGACGGAGCTATTATTGCACACAAATGAGATGTTGCAGAAATTGATTGGTTCGATTTAACCTTTTGGATTTTATACACGTGTATCATCAATAGCCTTTTGCCTGCTCAGGAAACGCTCATATAGCAACGCCGAGCAGAAATATACTAAAGACATCACACCCAGTTTCGCACCCGCCTCGCCTGGGAGCTTGTAACAGAGGGATTGGACCGGTTGAACCCTGATGGACGCCAAATAACCTCTCTACCGCCAACTCAAAATCTCGCCTCAAACCGCTTCAAAGGATATGTTGGCAAACATTATCAACTCTCAACACAATGAAAAATTCCCGGAAATCACGAAATTATTACAATCTCTAACGGAATAACTAAACGAATGTGTATTTTTTGCCGCTACTTATCCAAAAACTTGAAGTCAAACACCAATTCAGAAGTGGACCGGGTTAAATTAGAGCTGTTCAACAGCCCAACTGGTGGTCCAAGGGGGAAGATCAGGTACACGAGTTTTGAGTATTCATTTTATCGAGAACCGCTATGTAAAGGTTTCATGTGGACGTACCATAAATTTAGTTTATAGGCACGCATTAAACAACAATCTACTTGGGCGTTCAGTAAAAGGTCGCCCTGCTGCAACACCTGTTTTAACCACCTTTTCCTGAACACCTTAGAACACTGGCCTTACAAAATAGTTTTTCATATCACGCCGCCGTTGTTGCCGATCACCACGCCGTCGCGGGCCTAATATGTCTCCGACTTTGCTCTGACAAACGGAGGGAAATGTAATCAACAAGCTGGATAGGTTTATGCAATGAGCGATGAACAGTAACTACAGCACAACAAGCCGGCTCGGTAACATATTGGGATTTAGCTTAGCCGGCTAAGGGATTTCTGATCTTAGTATATATCAGTTTCCAGAAAGGCCTCAGCCGAGGTTTAACTCACTTACATGTAGACTCCCTTTGGCATTCCCTGCAGTATTTCTACGTAGCAACATTGCTAGATTGAACATTTACCACAATTTTCATTTTTGGAAGCATTGAGCCCGATAAAGACGTGCAGGACAAAAGGTACTTAGGTGGGGGCGAGATGTAAGCGGCCTATCAGATTACTGGTGAAGTTCTGGTGCAGTGACTTGCCCGATACCGGCCCAAAAGTAGCGTGAAGTCGTCGTACCCTTGTATTTACCCTTATTGTCACGCCGAATTTGTACCTACGAAGCCCGATATAAACCTCACATTCATCCTTTATAAGTTGACTACCCTTATACTTATAGGTAGAGTCGACTACAGTAATACCATACATCCTTGTCTAGACATTTACTACATGTACATGTACATACATATACAGTCGCACCTCGCTATCTCGTAATTCGATATCTCGGATCTCTTGCTGTCTCGTACGGATTTGCGAGACAGGTACTGCCCTTCTCCACCAAAAACTATTTGCTGTCTCGTATATTTGCCATCTCGTAGGGGTTTGGCTCCCAGAATAAGCTAACGACATAACGAGGTGCGACTGTATGTACCTAGCATCTTCAATCAATGCCAAGAGAAACGGCCGTTACCGCGTCGAGTGAGCATTTGTGCGCCAAGCCACACGTGAACTCTGCCGGTTGCTATAACGCGCACCTCGTACTAGGTAAGAAATCTAGAATGCTTGTATTCGACGCATAGACATAGTGAGTAAGGTTGTGCGGCCGCTGATTTACAATATGAGGGATGTAGTTTGCAATCAAGAAATTCCTGATAAGGTCGTGAAGTATCCTTAATTCGTTTGAAACACCATTCGCACTTAATGATAAATGGCCTCCGCTGATCCGCTCTCATCGTATTTGTAACCGAATATCTTACCTTGTTTTAGTCTCAAACATTGTAGGTACCACATGTGGCTTCCCATAATTCCACATATTTCTGGTTGTGTACATTCAGTTCTAATAGTATCTGTCACTTACAGGACATCACATGTGCCTCTCTGTACTGGAAATTGATCACCGGATGCCAGGCATACTAGTACAGGATACAAATCTACATGCTGTCACCATACGGGTATGACTACTTCATGTATTATAACGTGTATGTAAGTACATTTATATACACCCCAATCATTTTGGACGTTCTCTATTCGTGTTTACTGAAACATTGCAGAGGTGCGGGACGATGTAGCTATAGTATGTATCTAGCAATATGGAATAATACGTGTACTACATGTAGTAACACTTTTCACGTATAACAGGGGCACCTGTACTTTCATACTATGTTCTTTTTCTTACAATCCACTGCTGAAAGCCGACTGATGAATTTAATTCCCAAGGATTTCGCCGAACATTCTTCCGGCACCACAGATCACTCGTCTCATTTCATCACATATATGCGCATGTACATGTAGTACATATAAGATATACATGTAATTCGATACCGACCTCCGTCATACATTTTCCCACTAGTGTTTTGTATTTTGCCATACCCTTTCTAATTCCCGCTATGTACCGCCCATCTCTCTAATTCCTACACAACCCACCACCACCACCGCCGCCACTCCGGCCACTACCCACTTCCTCTATCCTCCCGCTCTTCCTCTTTATCTCTCCTCCTGGCTCACGCTGCCTCTACCTCTTACCACCTCGTTACTCCAACCCAATAGACCCTGATAAATACACTATTCTTGGCGTTTTGTTCGCTCATTCTCTACTGAGCTATTGACAAGAATAAAGTATTACACTCATCATGGCTTCACCTGGGTCTCTCTATTCTGGATCTCCGGAAAGCAAAAGTACTCTTGACACTCCCGAAACTGGGCCTTATGACGGATACTTCAATCTTAACACGCCATCACACCTCCGTCTTTCCCCCGGTGATGACTTTTATGCTGAGTGGAAAGCACTCCCTTCACGGCTACTTGAATCTCCATCACCTATCCCACCTAGTATACAGTTTCACGCACACAAATCGTCCCATGGAAAGGCGACTCAACATAACCTACCTAGAGACTGTACGTTTGATCTTGTTGCAACTCAAGGAATACAACATTGTTCAAACGAGAATAGTGTCGAATGCTTCACCGCGGTCACGGATAAATCCTCTCCAAACTCTGAAATATCCCGCTACTATCTCGAAAATACCGACTCAGAGAGTCAATTACACTCTTCCCAAGTACTAAGCGATATGTGCCTCACTTCCAACAAATACCAATCAGATTGGAGTATGGATCAAAATGAGCTATCAGCTGCGTCCACCCGTCACCTCAAAATCTGTAATATTGCTCCGGCAACCTCCCTCGTCATTCTTTATGAAACTTTACAGGTACGTCATTGTGCTCGTTGCAGCTTAAGAAATCAAAATTAGCCTCATATTAACAGTTTGTCATAGGAATTTGGAGATATTCAAGAGTTTTACACCCAGAAACTTCATCCCGACGGATTTTGTGTGGTTTCCTACTTCGATATCCGCGACTCGATGACTGCTTACCGCAAACTTCAAGCCGAACACCCTCTATCAATACAGTTTTGCCCCAGTGGATATGTCACTATGGTACATACCCGATATTTGTACATTTCCAAACATACTGCTAACGTATCAGAAGCTTGTAATTGGCAGTAACCTCTCAGGACGAGGGGTCGACAACCAGTCAGATATTATGTGTATAGTTACCTCTGGTGGTTGCTCGAGTTATGTCCGCCGCATCTTGTACTATGTTCTATCCGACTTTGGCTCCATCTCCAAGTTTACGGCACTTGAAAATAGTAGTCCCCCGGCGTTCTTGGTCACCTTTTTCGACACGCATGATGCATTTGACATTATTGATACTCTCGACGGGCAATATGTCGAGGTAAGCTGATTTATTTCTTCCATATATAGCTATCAATCTTACGTTTCATAGGGTTTCCGACTTAAATTGAGTTTTTACGACCCCGATATTCTCGCCTGGAACCCTGGATTCAGCGCACTTCGTACTCGAACGGATGAAAATGGTCGCGTGCATATTGTATCTTCGCAGGATACAGATGTTGGAGTATATAGTCCTCAGCCTAGTCACCCGTCTATTGATTTCACTTGTCGACGTGACTCTAGCAGTTCTGTCGATAGCAGGTATGGTGCGGATCGAGAAGGCGAGAAATATCTCGAAGCGGTATATTCTGGTGGTTATGTCACTCCCAAGAGATCCGGGCTTAGTCCACTTAATTTGAAACCAAGTTACAGGCGCACTCCAGATAACTTCCGGACTGATAGTGGTCAATTTCAAGATTCGTTTTCATATCTTCCATCCAACAAATCCCATTTACCAGACATCAAAATAAAGGATCCCACAGTACCAGCTTCTCCTACATGTCCATACCCACTCTTCGGCAATGAAATGTCACCAAAGTCAAACGAAAGGTTGCATGGTCAAGTTCAAGTTCCGGGGAAGAATGTAATTGATTTGGAGCGTATTGCGCGCGGTCTTGATACCAGAACTACGGTGCGATAGGAATCCCTTCGGAAGTCAATGCCTATATTTACTCACTATATTAGGTCATGCTGAGGAACATCCCAAATAAAGTTGACCAGGTATGTATGCCCCCGGCAGCAATGCCATTGCCCTTAACTTTGGCTGATCGTGCATTTCAGCAAACACTGAAAGACTATGTCGACACGACCAGTAAGGGCCTATACAATTTCTTATATCTGAGAATTGGTGAGTAAATTTATAACCTATCATTTTTAGACCGTCGTTGCTTACGCATTCCAGATTTTAGAAACATCTGCAAGTAGGTCCTTGAAATCAATATTCTTTGCCTTTTATCCTAAGCCTTTCTAATGGGATGCACCAATAGTGTCGGCTATGCCTTTATCAACTTTATTGACGTAAGCTATCTAAAGTGATCCTAATTATTACAGACAAAAAGCTAACTGTAGTCAATGACTAAGCCACTTGATATTATTGATGTTGGTTCCAATACGTTTAGACCATTTTGACGTGATAAAATTCGGCTGACCTTCAACAGTTTGTGAAAGCGAAATCTGGCACCAGATGGTTAGTAGTGCCAGCCTGTTGTGTTCAGATCTTTTACAGCTAACATAATTTAGGAATAAATTCAACTCGGAGAAGGTTCTTGATGTTACGTACGCGAGTAAGTCTATCTTATTTAACCAGTAACCATCCGGGTCAGGCACTAAGTATAGTTACAGATATTCAAGGGATCGATCAACTTGTTGAAAAGTTCCGTAATAGTTCAGTTATGGATCAAGATCCTTCGTACAGACCCAAGGTAGGCTAAGGTTTTTAAAAGACCTCAAGAATTCGTTATTAATGTTTATATACTGCCATTATTTAGCTATTTCACTCTTCGGGCCCGCTCACAGGTATGACCTTTCTTGATCAGGAGTCAAGGCGGTTTCCTGACAATATTTTATTTAGGTACTGAAAAGGAGTTTCCTCCAGCGAACAATATTTTGAAAAAATGCCGTAGCATCTCGGCAGCTCAGCAGATTGGCAAGTACAGGCGAGATATCGCTTTCATATCTGAAGAAAGCATCTAACAATTTGTAAGGTCTTTTTGCACCAAAGATGTCCACCAATGGTAAAGGCATTTGGCGGAAGCGAGACTAGGACCGTTAAAAGTAAAGAACCTTCTCTTTGTGAAACCTAGAGACATTGCAGTCTCGGTTTTTCTTTTACATGACGCTATTGCGTCTTGGAATTTTTTGTTTGGCAACTTTGGCATATTCACTGGATGGAAGCGGACATCTTCATTGTTTCTTTGATTTGGTTGGAAAAGGACACTCTTGGCGGGTAATAGTAATTTGTGATGGGACTTGAGAACGCGAGTACTGGAAACCGGACAACCGGAAATTTGTTGCTGATATAAGGAGTGTGGTTTGTTCACTCTTCTACCCTAAATTGGAGGTATGTATTTAGCTAGATCAGCAGAGATTTGCTTCCATTATTATTCTAAAAAAAAATATAAATGCAATCCACTCATTGCAACTAGAGAAATCAAGGGCTTAATCGAAAATGACGGTTTTCACTTTTACGTCGTTGGGATCTTGAGGGAGACGACGTGGGCTACAGTTCTCGCAGAAGATCTTGCTCAACGGCTTCCACTTGCCTATATTAGTACTACGGCGGAAGTTGAGGCTTGAAATATTAAATTCAATATCCACTGTCGTGTTTTATTTGTTATTGATATATCACATGACACTCCTAAGCAGCGATGTACTACTCTACCTACTCTTTCTCCAAACAATAGAATTGATCACAAACTTGATGTAAACATACATATAATCAAAGTCCAGTAGCCAATGACTTCAGATATGATTTTACTATAGCAAAATTCACGGACTACTAATGTATGTGGGCGTTTGAAGTTAGCTTGGCTAAGGTCCACTTAATATATATAGCAATTGCTTTGACTCGGAACCTTGGAAACCGAAGAGGTCATAATTATGTAGATTATATATAGTCAGTCATGGCTCTAAAAGAAATGCACTATCCTGGAACCCGTATAACGCAGCTTTGTACTTGTACAGCGGCCGCTTTCATTCTAGTCATACTGTATTAGTCAAATAATTTTATAAGGTATATCGCTTCGATTTTCAGGTGCTCATGACCCTTCTTTGAGGGGCGTGCAAGCTTACGCAGAAAATTCAGCGGAGCGCTAAGTGAGATATTGATTCAGATAAAATAGTAAGTCGGTACTAGAAAGTGTACTAGACATATTTATGGATTTAAACATAACATTATATGTATGTTTAAGGAATACAACGTACATCATGATGTACTTATACAGTAGTAACGAATGCCAATATTATAATACGTATATACAAGTATCCGCTGAAAAATAATTTACCTCCTACTTATCAATAAGATTCTGAGGCAGTAGGTAGGGCAAACCCCTGCATTAAATGCAGTGATCCAAACAGATCTTCGGATAAGTTGTTATTTGTTTCACTCCTATTCAGATTAGCGGCGTATTCACCATGTATTAATTGCTACTTGAGCCTTACCTACAATCATCTTTACCAGCTGCATCATTTTAGGTCACTCGTTCCATTGGCTCGGATGATGTGGCTTGGCAAGAGAAATTCATGTATTACATATATGTAGTGTTTAGTAGCATCTTGGCGTAGCGAACCTCATGCTGAGAAAAACATTGCACTCAACCCTAACAAGCCCCACGGTTAACAATTCGGCAATCCTCTTCGTAACATACCCAATTCGCCCATCACTATCACCCTCACTACTCGCCCAATCGTCTATATAATGGATTCCCAGGCAGCGTCTAGCATGTCCGATTTCAATGACAAGGACCGCAAAGAGTTGCAACAATTCATCGAGAACGAACAACAGAAATCAAAATTCCAGACAAGTAAATTCCCAATGAAATCTTTCCAGTTTGAAATTCCTGGTCCATAACTGAAGACCTATGTCTGAACCCTTTCTAAACGGTCCAATAGATGTCCACAATTTGACCGACATGTGCTGGTCTAAATGTATGACGTCCAAAATTACTGGCACGGCAATCGACAAAAGTGAAAATTCTTGCCTGGAGAATTGCGTCAATCGATTTATCGACTCCCAGAAGACGATCGTGAAGCAGCTAGACCACATGGGCGGCAAGGCCTAAAAGGCGATGTTCGAGAGGAAAGGAATAGAGATCAGCCTGTTCAATAGTTACTTCGGCAAGGGTATTTGGGATCGCTATTCTTAATCAATAAACTGCGGCAACAAGATACAGTCTATAAAGGTTCATTTTGTGATATCCCCTCGATGATTGGACGCGTGATAGGCGGCTGTTGAGAAAAATCATTGTATTTCGTATACATTAGTGCGAAGGATAAAGCCCATTTCTTCTCAATCAAGATTTGAGAAGGAAAGTAGTTCCTTACTCGTTTTTGTATAGGAGGTAAACCGCTGAGGTCGGAATGCGTCCACTCATTCAAGAATCAAAATGAATAGAGACAGCGGACGACTTCCTGTAGCCGTTCTCAACGTATCTAAACCAGTCAGATGATGACCCCATGATCTTTTTTTAGAAAAGATAGAATCTGGCACCGCCCTCCCCAGGCTGTCTGAAGCATTCAGAACTAGATTTTCAGAGCAATGAAGCACGAATCTGATCTATGCAAGCATGGAACCTCTAAAATCTGAAAACCAGTGGAAACCCATGACATAGCTATTAACACTCTCCATATTATAAACTAGCCTCCAAATTCTAGAACATGTTCTAACTACGCTCAGAACGACTACGAGAAGTAGTGCTTTATGAAGTACACGGCTTTCCGTAAAAATTCCCACTTTATCTAAAAAACGATCTAAATGATACCTTTAATCCCCAGAATTTTTAAAAAGATAGAATCCAGAAACCCCTCCCCAGACTGTCTGTCTAGAGTGAAACGAATATCAAGAAACGAGAGGACAGGAAAAGGGCTGATTCAAAGAAAATGCCCAAATCTATGAATTGAGGCGTGGATGAGATAATTAACCTTTAAATGTTTAAAGGATATCCTGAATTCAAAACAAGTTTGGAAAATCAATCAATGGATGATTTGTTCCAAACTTTACGCATCCAGCAACTCTTAGTATTTTAACCCGAGCAACCAAAATCAACCACGTTACGTTCCAAACCTCATATCAAAATTCCATAAAATCACACCTAAACGTTTCCGACTTTTCTCCCTATTCCAAAAGTAGTCATGCCAAACTTTGTTCATCCCATCCATTCATCCCTCAACTTATCCCTCTCAATATCCATCGATTCATAAATCCACTGTCTTTCCTCCTCATAACCCAATCCCAACTACAGCGATTATCGACCCTACCAGGTAGCTACTCTCTTCCGTAAAATAAAAATAAAATAGAAATAAAAATAAGGGGGTGTACATATAATAACGTATCAACAAGAAGATAATTTGCAGATAACCAAAATCAAGAAAGAACAAAACCTTTATATAAAGGGCCATCAGAGGGATATAGAACATTATGGAGAGTGAAAACAAGCATATAATGTATTACAGTATTCCGCAACACATGTAACTTCGTCACCTATGGTATCTTAAAACATACCATACCCTGTTCCATTATTATTGCAGGGGGCACGACGTAACAGTCATTGAAGTCATGAGAAACATAAGAGGGCAGGGATTTTTATCAATAATGCAGGTAGAGAATGGAAAGAAAGGAAAAATACCACCCAGAGCCAGCTAAAGCAACACCGAGAAAGTCTGTGAGAAGAATAGGCATTGTATGCAACTAAACACCCCGTGTTGCAGCAAGAACACATAGTGCAATTATGGCACCGATGACGAGTAGTCCAACAACGGACATTGTTCGATTTACAGATCTCCACCATTTCGCGTTCTCATATTTTCGTTGTTGTTTCACAGTATGATTTGATCCAGCCTCCGCATCGACAATATAATGGGATGGTTGGTCAACGATTTGAATGGGTTGCTTGTAGTTGCGTCCACGTACCTCTGGCAGCGGAAGGAATGCAGCAATTATCCAGCATATTGGTAGAAGAAATCCCAGGCAAAACATTACAAGTTGGCGGTCAATGGTCTCAAACCTGGACAGCGGTGTGTGGTCTAAGTGTGGTGTTGACCACTGAGTCGCGATTTCGGCGTCCATAATTTTGGTTCTGGACCCCACCCAGTCCACACCAGGAACACTCTCAGAAGAGCCCCATTGCCTTTGACCTTGATATAATGTACCTGGCGGGATGACTTCTGTTATCTGCATTGAATCATCGCTTTGTTGATGTCTGATTTTGTGCTCTGCTGTGTCTTCATTTCCGTACCTGGGCATTTCGGGCTCAATAATACTTCCTCGCCCTCCCTTCTTGCTATAGAAATACCTGGAGACAAGGCCGTGTAAGCAACATGTGCTAGATTGTCCAACAGTTCGCAAATAAGAAGCGCAGGAACGTACCTTGCCCACGCCGGAAGTTGTTTGGCTGAGGCGAGAAGAGAACCAGCGGTGCCAGGGCGTTCCATAGAAGCATTACTTCGAGAGCGCACTGGGGCAGGTTGTGGGGGAACCATGCGTGCACCTTGAGCGCTCGACTCACCCAATCGCGGTGACGGGGTAACTCTCGGAGATATAGAGACGGGGCGCTGACGGTTGACAAGCCTCCCGAGTATATCGCCTTCTTCACTACCTTCATCGTTACTGTCCTCGCTGTTCCCCACTATCCTGAGCGTGTGGGAATTCATTCTAGATCCTTCTGAGCTTGTTGGGCTTTGGGCACTGTTTGCTATCCATGAATTTGATTTTTCGTTGTATTCTTCGACTGTATACGGAGGAAGCGCGGGCCGAGAAGGCTTTTTTAGGATGGACTTTGGAAATGTCTGCACTTTTGGGGGTGTTGTATTAGGGGCTGAAATCGAGCCACTGGCCAGTGTGTCTGGGCTCTGAGACTCCCCGGTTACAACGCTTGGTGGATCTCGGGGCACAATAAAGGCAGATTCCCTTTTGTAGATCTTCAAGGGAGGTACTGGAGGTAAACTATCTATGGAACCAGAAGGTCCACGGCTACTGTTTGTACTTGCAGTGTGCGAACTCGAGCGTGTGCTGTCCCTCGATATGGAGGCTGCAACTGGATGAGCAACCCATGCTGAAACGTCAGTCGCTTTGTGTGAAACTGACGAATTATTGCTGTGAATAGAAGGATTTGTCCGGACTTCGTTCGTTTCGGAATCGGAGCGCTGGTGGAGGGCAGCGCGACGACGGTTGTTCATTTCCATAAAACTCGAGATCCCTTAAGCTCTCCGACTTGATTGTTCCTTGACCATAGAGCAAGCAAAAGACAATGGTAAATTCCGGCTCTAGGTAAAGCCGAAGAGATGTGTCAGATGCTGGATAAGCCGTAACTGCAGCAAAAGCGACAAAAATATAAGGATATAAAAAAGATGCGATAGAATATATGGCGGCAAAATAACAGATAAATAATAGTAAGAAACAAAAATACAAAACTCTTCAATGTAACCGAAGAATCGGAGCAAGAAATTAAGGCACTAAGGAAGGACAGACAACGGGGCGTAAATGTCAAATTAAGTGGAGAAACCGAGCCAAAGAGGGGAATGGCTAAGTGGTTCAGATAAAAGAGTGTGGAGGGATTGAACCCAAGGAAAGATTGTGGGGGAGGGGAGGGGAATAGTGAGGGAACGAGTGAGGTGAGAGTGAGTGTGCGAGAAAGAGAGAGAAAAGGTTAAACGAGTGCGCATGCCTGAGAAGCGCTTTGTTTTGTTTACCACCCCTATTTCTGCAATCTACTCCTCTTACTGCTAGGAATATTTAGCCTGGCATATAAGCAATCTGCAGGAACGGTACATATCTAGAGTTTATTCTTTTTCTCTCACTCGTTTCTCAGCAGCATGAAAATGCATGCTTTCTGTGCGTGCCGGCACACTCCAGAGTCGTTGCTGTGATTGTCATGAGTGGTTAATGCAGACAAGAACCCGCAGCTCTAAACTTATCTACCTAGGGTACCACTTGCCTAGCACATTCTAGGCTAATTGGGTGTTGATTTTCCGCTTCCGTCTGAATCTCTGAGCTGTTCTATGTCGACACTCGCATTCCCAACCCCTGGTATGTATGCATCACTAGACTCTAATAGACTGTTCCTGGGGGCGTTTCCCCAATTTGAGGCATGGCCACTGACAGAACGTTGCATCAGACATATCCCTGATATCCTGAAACACAGCTGTGTACCGATTCGCCCTTGCGCTTGCCCCGTGCACGAAAAAATTGGCGATGTAGCGGGTAGGCACCCTACTAAAGTACTAAAGTAGAGTAGGTACCAAGATCTACTACATTGGGATGGCACCAACAGCCATATTCGTAAGGTCTTGGCACACCCGGTAGGTATCGACAGCCGAACAACTACAAAAAGAAGTTTATTTTGTGGCGTGGTATACATGTATGTATGTATGGATCATTGTGTTCTGGGTGAGAGGGCTAAAATACTTTATTTGTTATAACTATGGATTTTGACTCGCAGGGCGCCAAAGCTTTATGGACACGGTACCTAAACGTGGATACACTTCGGGGAGTTTCTTCAATTCTTCACGAAGGCAAAAATCACTTCACACTCGGTGAATTCTGACAATTATAAGGGCCCGCCCGGCAACAAGACAAAACGGAGCTCCCAAGGGTCAATGCCTAACAAAAAGGTCGTTGCAACGGAGTTTTCACCCCTGTAAACGCCGTTTTGGCCTGTTGCTGAATGGGCTCTAAAAACTGTAGTTACTTGAGGGAGCCGTAGTGGTGTATCGTTACCCGGACGTGTCTGTGGCGCTGTCCCTTCTAGCTTTGTGGCTTTTTATCATTATATATATTATTTCAATTCGCCTGTCAATGGTTTAACCTGGGTGTTAATGTTGGGTAACTCAATCATGAACGAACCCCCTAGTTATATTCATTAAATCACTTGTATTTATTGGGTGGCTCAATCTTACTTCATGACGTTGGAAGAACATAATATGGGAGTGGTTTCGATAAACCTATAGCTATAAGCAGCGTATCATTATATTATATTATTGCTTTACGAGCGAAACGCGAAACTCGTAGTCCAGCCCTAACCCAGCTGTCTCGGTATTTAATTACATAAGTAACTTTGGTATCAAC